GGGAATATTCTCCACAACTGAGCGAATTGCATCCGCGTCTCCATATCCGCGGTCGTTTTCGATTTCCCTGACCTAATCTTAAACTCTGCGCTTAGCGACTACGTCCCGGCTTTCAGCCCGCCCTCTGTTCGTTGATTGGCCCGGCTGTTTTCAGGCCGGAGGAAAACGGATAGATAGGCCGCTGTCTCAGACTGAGTACAGAAGCGAAATGAAATTGAGCGGAAGTACGAAGTCTGACGTAGTCAGGCTAGGAATTTTCCTGCTTTCCGTGTTTTCACTGTTAATCGGTAGGGAGCGCTATAATGCATCTTCTGAAAGAGTACTGAATATCCTGATCAAAACACGTGTGAGGAAGATGCAGAAACAAGCGATATCATATGCATATGTAAAATAACACGATCATCAACATTAAACAGCACATAAATCAAAACTGCCTAATGTTACTGAATGAAATGTCGACCCAGGACGAGCTTTAGGACTGTGCAAGCATTGGGGGTGTTGATGGACTCGATCTACTCCATCTATGTTTTGATCATCGTTCTGAATCCGATCTGGATGTAGTCTGACAAAAACACGATTTTATCAACTTTTTGCTCAAAATGTAGCTTTTTTATGAAACTTAAGTGTTGATAAAAAAAAAGCTAGAATGAAAATTGTTTAAAAGCAGAGGATCTGTTCTTTCTTTTGATATATGGCATGTTCTCCATGAAATTGTTGTGAAAATGATCAAAAACGCTGGCGGTGGCTGCCTTTTTTTTTTCTTTAAAGAGTTAAAGATTCAGTCAATGGTTCTTTCAAGTGCAATATTCTTTTCAGCAATTTCCTTGCATGTGAGGCCTTTTTCATGCAAAGCGATGATGGGATGGGTACACATCTTTCTTTGGAAGTAACCATTGTTTGCTAACATAAGAACACTATGATTGGAAGCATTTATTCCTTCCGTTTATAACCATCTGCTCTTATAACCCAAACAGAATGAGAGTGAGTTCAGCTGACTATTGCTCATTCACACTTTCCCATGTGCGATGATACTCTGGTCATTTTGTGCCAGGGCCAAAAAACAGTGAAATTTGTTTTTTTGTGATAAAGTAAAACATTTTCTTTTTGGGGGGGGGGGGGGGGTCAATTAAGCTTTTTCCAATTATTTAAAGAGCATCTCAGGCCACATTTACACATAGCCGGGTATTTAGAGAAACAAATATCCCCCCCCCCCCCCCTCCGTTTTCAATAATAACATCGTGCACACAACATCGTTTTCAAAAAAGTTGTCATTTACATCAACCCGTATAAATATACGCCGTCGAGTGCCATCATAACTATGCCAAACATGACGTTAAGCATTTTCTGGCGCATAATGTGATGTTTGAGAACCTAAAACCCCGTTTCTCCCAGTTGACACGGCAGACAGTATTAGGACTTCTTCCTCCTTATCTGAGCACTTACATCCTCCCGAGGTCTGCAGGGCCAGGGACATATCACCTGCGCTCACAGGATCTGTTTTTATTGACAGTCCCTAAAGCCCGCACTAACTTTGGCAAAAAGGCTTTTAATTTTGCAGCACCATCTGCATGGAATCAGCTTCAGAATGAACTACAGTTGAAGGAGTTGGTTTCACTTTATTCTTTTAAAGGCTTTTTAAAGGAGCTTGTAGAAAGGCAGTCTGTCTGTCACTGTTTTTAAATTGATTTAGGACCCAGACATAGTTGTTTGCATAATATGATGAGTGAAAGTGTGTCTATGTATTTACCTGTAAGTGTTTCTGTATCTATTTGAAACCGCCAGGACACTCTTGTAAAAAGAGATTTATCCTGGTTAAATAAAGGTTTGAATGAATGAACACATAACCGGCGTTATCAGAAATCTCCACTTTGGCCGGAGTTTTTAGAAATAATCGTTTTCTGTGATAAAAACGGGGTTTTCGTGTAAATGAGAGGCCAAACCGCAGGAAAATATCAGTCTTCCCTTTGTGTAAACGGGGCATGAATCAGATGGAACAATTTCATCAACAGCACAACAACTGAAGCAGCAAACTTTGCGAAAAACTAAATTTATGCCACTGACAATACAATACTTGTCTGAATGCACTGAAACAACTCCCCTGGATTTGAATCAGCGGACGCTTCAGTCAAACTTCACACCAACAGCTATCATCACAATCTTTAAACCAACAGAGATTCCCTCTGCAAACATCCAGTCAGTCTACAAAAACAGTCCTGAGCACAATTTACAGCAGGGTTCCTCTTATCTGCAGCACTGTATTCGGCCCATCCGTGACCCCTCCTCTTGTACTTTACTGCTATCATTAACTCCTCCTCCCCATAGTGCAAACTAAAGCTATTCTCCCAGCCTGAGCAGAGAGTAGCAGTCTACAGCCTCCACGAGACGAGAGTACACAGTGAAATACCACCGTCCTTCCACTCTGACTTAATAAGGACCCTGTTGTGCGGCATTTCTCGAGACATGCAGAAAGAATTCAAACAAACACTAAAAATCAACACAATTCAGCCAAACTCCCATCGGTACACATCTGAAATCTTGAGCTGCCAAAAATAGCAAGTGGCTTAACAGCAAAGGAGTGGACAGATGCCACAGTGTAGCCATGGGAATGGCACTTAATGACTAACCCAACCAAAACCAATTAGGTTAGACATTGCTTAGAGTGACGGTAAACCAAAGCCAGACTTATGAGAACCAACGCCACCTGGACCGCCTCAAGCCGAGAAACAAGTCCACACGAACACCAACTTTCACTTCTGTCTACTACAGAGATGAAACTACTGTAATTTCCCTGCATCCCTCAAAAAGCACGCAAAAGGGAAACTTTCTAGTGGAGCGGACCACAAAATAAACAGCAACGTGAAGTGATGTTTTTATGAATTTAGGGCAAAACTAATTAGGCTGGTGCAGTAGAAGATGGAAAGGGGACAGCGGACAGAGGCCTAAGGGGAGCAACAACAGCAATGAGGTCAAACTATCTCCACCCACTTCAGCGCAACGCTCCATTTGCACACTGCAGGCATGTGGAAGAAGGGTCTGTGTAAAATCGGTCTCTCGTCGAAAGAGGTGGGAACCTCTGTGCAGATGGGACATTATGTGATGGCAATGCGAGAACTAAAACAGGCAGGATGAAACACAGCTGATGATGATGCAATCAGAAACAAGCACTGACTATTTCTCTAAACTAATTCTATTCTACCTTTGTGAAAGTGCTTCGGGTGACAAGACTGATGTGTCATCGCGAGCAAAAACAAATGCAATTAGTGTGACTACATAAAGATCATCAATTCATGAGCTCCTCATTGTCAGATGATACTGATAGACAGGGACTGCTTATTTAACTAATCTCCAAATCTACAGAAAACATTCAAATCAAGCAACAGAGATGATGAATCATAAGCTAGCAATTCCCATTAGCAGGAGACTATTAAACCTGTCTGAGCAGATAAACGAAGCCGAAACTTCTTTACAAAACAGCCAGAGACTAAGAAAAGAAAACAGAGTAGGCCAATAAACACAAAATAGTGACATTTATGGTTAAAGTTGTTGGTTATAGTTCACTCATGTTATATTGAATAAACAAATATCTCCCAAAATAAAAAATGGATGGATGGAAATATGGATGTATACATGTTTGTTTGTATACATGGCATGCATGAATGCATACAGTACCGGACAAAAGTTTGGAAACATTAATATTTGTAATGTTTTTGAAAGAAGTCTCTTAGAAGTCTCTCTTTGGTCAGAAATACAGTAAAAACAGTAGTATTGTGAAATATAATAACAGCTTAAAATAATGGATTTCTATTTTAACATACTTTAAAATATCATTTATTTCTGTGATGCAAAGCTGAATTTTCATCAGCTGTTACTCCTGTCTTCAGTGTCACATGATCATTCAGAAATCATTCTAAAATGCTGATTTATTATCAACGTTGGAAACAGGTGTGCTGCTTAATATTTGTCATAACCTGTGATACTTTTTTCAGGATTCGTTGATGAACAAAACGTTTAAAAAAAGAACAGCATTTATTTAAAATATAAATCTTTTGTAACAATATACACAACCATTCAAAAAGTTTGGGGTCAGTATATTTTTTATAAATAAATTAGTGGTTTTATTCAGCAAGAATGTGTTAAATTGATCAAAAGTGATAGTAAAGATTTGTATGTTGACAAAAATGCTGTTCTTTTGAACTTTTTATTCCTCAATGAATCCTGAAAAAAGTATCATAGGTTCCAAGAAACTATTAAGCAGCACAACTATTTCCAACATTGATAATAATAACTGGGGAAAATCAGCATTTTAGAATGATATCTGAATGATCATGTGACACTGAAGACTGGAGTAACGGCTGTTGAAAATTCAGCGTTGCATCACAGAAATATATTAAAATAGAAAAACGTTATTTTAAATTGTAATAATATATATCACAATATTAGTGTTTTTTCTATATTTTTAATCAAATAATTGCAGGATTGATGAGCATAAGAGACTTCTTTCAAAAACAAAACAAATAGTAATGTTTCCAAACTTTTGACCGGTACTGTATGCATGTATGTATGTATGTATGCACTGTATACCGGTATGTATGTATATACATAGCCTACCCTACATACATCAATGTTAAATAGATTGTAGACGGTGACCGGGCCGACTCTGATTATATGAAGTTAACGGCGATACTGTTGTTGTTGTTGCTGTTGCTATGATTCTGCTCAACTTTCTGTTAGAGCGGATGTTCACATTAAACGTGGCAATTAATCGAATTAAATAATGACAACCGTAAAGTTCGAAAATTTAGGTCATAAATATGTTTCACAATCTGCCAGATAGTCTTTTCGTGCATTTATCTTCTTCCAGTTTGCAAAAAAACAATTGTCATAAATCACGTTTACGCCCATGTATTTAATCGAGAAGTTCATTGGTGCCATTGAATCGGACTCGGACTTTCTGAAACAGAAAAATTTAACATAAAACAGAGTTTATCCTCCGAACTTACCCAAAGCTCAGTGCCCCAGTCCATGTTCAGCTCTCCTACTGCTTTCCCTCCTCTATTAGCCTGAAAAGTTATCCCAACTTACGAGAGTAACATATGTTCAAAATAGGATCAAAGAAAGCGACTCATATCTTTCCCACATTCACGCGCAACACAGAACAAAATCAGTATGGTTCTCCAGCGCGAGCTACTTTGTGGCGGCACAAACACTTTTCGTTGCAGAGCAAGAGAAGGATCAACTGGATTTCATTGCCGCGTCACTCCCAGATCCCTAATTCTTAAAGGAGCCGCCGGATCCAGTTTCCAGCTTTCAGACTGCATGTCGATCACCAGACGGAGTGAGAGAACTTCAAACCAGAGGGGAATAACATGACCTTTATTAAATTATTAACACCACAGGTCAACAATCAATAAATACATCCTGAAACCATTTTCCATTCATTTATTAATAAAAATAAAAAATACATATAAAAAAAACACAGTAGACAACTAGTTTGAATCTCTGAAGCCATGCAGAAATACATAAAAAAAAACGAATATTCTTCTAATTAATGTTTTGACTGTCTGAATTAAGAGTAACTTTTTTTTGTAAACAGTAGTTAAAAGTAGTATGTAAGTAGTATGATCTTTCATTATTTTATTTTTTTTAAATCTTCAAATTAATTTTGTTTTAAAACATTGTTTTATTTCAAAACGTTTTGTACAGTATTTAACAGTACTAAACATTAGTTTGTTCTTTAACAGTATTAAAAGAACAAAATAGATTACTATCTGCCAATACAGAATTCAACTTCAGATCTGCATTTATGCATAAATATTTCTATTAACCCAACTTTAAACCCACAATCTCATAGTGGGTAACACTTTTGTACAGAAAATAAAATTCAGTATGGCGTAGGCTAACCAACATACAGGACAACATTTTGTTGTCATGTGATAAGATAACCTGATACGTTTTAAACGTTTCTTTTTTTATCATCTAAGACGTTCTTCTTTGACACTGACACATAGTCACACACTTGACAGTGCATGCTGCTATGAGCTTTTAGCCTACACATCGTAGCCCCGGTTTCACAGACAGGGTTTAGATATTAAGCCAGGATTAAGCCTTAGTTCAATTAGGGCATTTAAGTAGCTTTTATAAACGTGCTTTAGAAAAAAAACATTACTGGTGTTAATCTTGAGACAAAACAATGGCACTGACATATATTAAGATATGCCATTGCAAGCAGCTTTCAGTTAAAACAGCTCAAATGTGCATTTTAGTCTTGTCTGTGAAACTGGGGGATAGATAGCCCACCCGTTTTTATTGAACGTATGTAATCTGAATTATGTTCAATAGGCAATATCATCTTTGTTCAATGTTAGCATTTGCTCCATTGCTTAACGGTTGCATTTCATACTGCTTCACTGCAGGCTGTACTTGATAACTTCCACTTGATTGTTTCCTTATCCACAGATAGATAAGTAATGCGATGATTATAATAACAAGCAGTGCAATTATCACCGCTATAACAATTGTAATGTAGTTTGGAGAGTTGCCTAGAAAGGAAAAAGCAAAATATAGGTTCAGTTAATAAAGATCTAATATAAAACTCAAAATATTTAGCATAACATTCATTTTGTGGTTAAATGACTCAACAGTAAAATATCACATAAACCAAAATCTGTTAATATCTCATGGCATGGGGAATAAATATAAAATCATTATCACAATCGTAGCCCTAACCTCTTATGTTCACTTCGAAGGTCTTGTCCTGACGTCCAAATTGATTCGAGGCACTGCATGTATAAACCCCTGCACTGGTAGACGTGGCTCTCTTGATGTTAAAGATGATGCGGCGCCTCCCAGTGGAGATGATCTCATTTTTAAAGCTCCACGACATTTTAGGCTCTGGGTTACCAGTCGAATCGCACTCTAGGGTTATATTGCTGTCTTCAACCACATCAAACTTGTCTTGGCTGGCATGCAACACTGGAGCATCTGTGTTGGAAGTAGAACGTTGTCTTTTTTATTTCAGTGTCGAAGGTTGTTAAAGAAATATATAAAGTATTGAAGAACATTTTTTTCGTACACAGGATAGTTAGAACGAATGTTGAATTCACAGTTCCATGTTTGTTACTTGCAGTTAATTGATACCAGCCACTATCATTCCATTTGGGATAATAGGGAAGCGCGATAAGTTTTCCATTTTTGTGGAGGGAGACATCAGGCTTTGGTAATCCATTAGCTACACAAGGATGTTGGAAGGGTGTTTTCTCTTTTACTTCGTAGCTCTCACTGCAGTTCAGCTTTGGAGGGTCTATATTTGTGAAAAAATGTTGTTGTTTTTTAAATTTGATAACAGAAAGACAATCAGAGACACAAAACATCAGGTTTTAATGCAGAAGAACTCTCACACTTACACTCCACTGTGATGTTTATGATACACGTGGAATTGCCTTGGTCATTACTGGCAGTGATTTCATATTGGTCAGAATCATATGTGTTAAGAAGTATAGAAACACTGAGTTGGCCTAGTGATGATTTGCGTCTCCAAGAAATGTCTGGATAAGGGTTACCAACAAGAGAATATGAATTTGGATATGAATCTAAGGAGGCCCCTGTCGTTGGAGACCAGTCCTTACAATGTTTAATTTTTGGCTCATCTGAAAAAGAAGAACATTGAAAACATAAAACATACTTATCGGTGTATATTTTAAGAGCATTTCTAGGTTTTTTACATGTGTGGAGAATGGAGATAAAACAATATATTTTTTACTTACAATAAACAGTAATGTTGAGATGTTTTGACGGGGCTGTTGGAGGAGGTTGAGGTCCTTCCTCTCCCAGTTCCAGCTTTGCTTCACACCAGTACTGAGCTCCATCATCAGCTCTGTCTGGACGGATCAGGAGTTTAGATGTTTTACTGACTGGAGTCTTGATGGTGTCAGTGAAGATGGTTTGATCCACCAGAGTCTGTCCTTTGTACCAGTTGACAGTGAGAGTCTGAACAGGAGCCACATTGAGAACGTCACACTGGAGCTCATACTGGTTTCCCTCCATCATTGGTCCGGTGTGATACACAGTGCTGATGGACACACTGTCGGGAGTCTCTGTGGAGGAAGATTTACACACTGATATCTGCAGTCATCAATGTATAGTAGATATTTCTGAGAATATAAAAGTATCAATAACAGAGAAACTTACTGTAAATAGTCACTGGGAGAGTAATTTCACACTGTTTCTTATGGTTTATGTAGCAGAATGGCTCTATGTCCCATTCTCTCAGTTCTGACACTCTCCATGTGATCAGACTGTCTTTGCTCATAGGCACTGCTCCCTCACTGGCTTCCCATCCCAATCCTTTATGCGGGATAGAAGTGCTGCAGTCGGCTGAAACAGGACCGCCGAACTTCACAATAACTCTCTCTGGGTTGAGCTGAATTGGACAGTTGCCGTCTATAGAATTGGATGTGATTGAAAACAAATGAATCTCTATCACAGAATAACAGCGTCATTTATAATCAGTTTGGGCACTCACTCATCTATCTAGTGATAAAAAAACCTTTCCTTAGCAAAGTGTGAGCAATAAAATAGTAATGCTTTAGGAGCCAATTACATTGAACACATTTAACACGAGATGCAGGGCAGTGGAATGAAAAAACGTGTCTTTTAACTATGTGGTATTCCTCACTTAAGGGACACTATATGATCCTCTGCAGTCAAAATCAACGAAATTTAGTTCAATTAAACGGATGTACTACAATTTGTTTCAATAATACCTTTAAAAAAAAAATAAAAACATGTATTTTTGAAGGGATTTCATTTTACTAGACAATATTCACCTGCACATTTATTCCTATATAAAATAATACAAATATTAGAAATACATTTTTATATTATTTTCAATTAATACAGTGATTAAGTTAAAAACAGAGCAAATGTATTCAATATCCAATGCACTGAAGGCAGATATGTGCCATCTGATGTGAGAACCAAAGAAAATCAAATGTAATACCATCGTGCAACCAGATGCCTGTATAGCCCAATGTATGTGTAACGGTCACCAGCTGGATTGCCCTTGAGAGCCACCAGAGGCCACTCCACACAGACTATTATCACTCCCTCACAAACTACATTTCCCATAACTCACTGCCCGGACTCATCATCACTGGTTGCATTCACCTGTGTCTCATTACCCTGTTAGTCTCAGCCTATTTCAACCTTGTTCACTCATTCACTCAATGCAAAGTTTTGTATGTTGTTGCACTGCATTTCTGGGCGTTTTCCCCTTTTACTGTCTATGGTTTTCCCAGGTTTTATGTCTCTTGGTTTTTGGGTTTCTTGCCTGTTTCTTGGATTCCTCTTTTGCCTCTGACCCCTGCCAGTTTTGTTTGTTTGTTTGTTTGTTTGTTTGGACTGCCTGCCTGTGTTTTGACCTATTGCCTGTATATTGGATTACGTGTCTGGATTTCCCCTTAATTAAAGCTGCAATGGACCACTTGCACTGAACTTCGTGACGCACTTCCGTTTGGAAACAATACATATCACTTATTTCCGGTTATGTTTACTTTCAATGGAGCCTACTGTGGTCAATGAGTTGAACAAACGCCAACTAAAAAAAGTGTGTATAATAATATTTTATATTTTGGACTTTTTTATTGACAGAAGAAGGGATGATCTGATGTTTACTGTGTGCAGAATTTTCAAAACTCATCGGAACATGAAGTTTAATCCAATCCAAGCCAATCTGAGAAAGCTGAGGCTGTTAAAAATACGCCCTTATTTCACCACAGGGTGTCAGTGTTCGTCTAAACTAGTGACCGCGACGCTGAAATGTGTGAGAACAGATGAATAACATCAGTACGAACCACGAACATTTATTTATTTGGATTAAATATTGTAACCATTCAGTGTCATTTTTCAATGTCAATCGTTTTACTATTTACATGTTCATGCCCAAAATGCTTAATTGATATTCAAAGAAGTTGACTGTCATTCTCCTCTACGCTGCGTGCGGTTCTGATCGTAGGCACCTCGCGAGTATTCATTCATTCAACTATTTAAAAAAGACAAGAATAAAGCACCAATGCACACAAGAAATGCTTTTTATTGGTCAAATTCATTAAAAAATGTGAACTCAACAGGTATGGAATATAAGTAGGCTAAGAGAAAAATACTGTAAATGAGAAGACATAGGTCTGCTGCAGGTTAGTGAATAAATATATATTTATTATTCAGAATGTAACAGTTGGAAAGAAAAAAAATATATATAGGAACATTTCAGCAGGCTCAAGATAATTAATACAGAGATCATTATTCATTGTTTTAATCAATTGGCATCCATAAAACGTAGTGATAATCTGCATTCTCATGTAGGCCTATGGACGTGCGATGAACACTCTAACCGGAAACTCCCGATATGTAATAAATAGAACGCGGAAGTAGTTGTGCAAGTAGTGCATTGGATCTCAACCTTCGTGTCTCAGAGCAGTTCGTGACAGAAAACTTTGCCACTCCGAGATCTAGCAGCCATGCCAACCATGTGTCCAGACGTCCAAATCATGCGTTTCCGTCAGGAGAATTGGTCCATCGAAGACTGTCGCAGATTTTATTGAACTGGCACACCTCACACTAATGAGCACCGCGTGCTTAATTATCTTTTTCCGCGGAAGATTATCTGAACCGCTCCGGTCATTGATGCCCGACCATGATCCTCACGGGACAATAGAACAATATATTGACCTGGCCCTGTTGTTGAGCGGTTCATCATTTGCTGTGGGTGTGGAGGAGAAGGAGCTCCGTGAACCCACAGTACCACCTGAGCCTGAGTCAGTTCACGTCTCGCCCGCCCAGCCTGAGAATCCACGTCAGTTCACGTCACGCCAACCATCAAGCCAGCCACCGGATCGGTCTATGGCCGTCCCGGACTGGTTTCCAGCGTGGCCAATCCCCCGCTGATGTCAGCACGTGCTGCCACAAGGGCCATCGTTCCAGGTCCAGCCCTGCCGAGCCTGCGCTTCACGTCAGTCCTGCCGAGCCTGCGCATCACGTCATGGCCACCGAACAAGAGACTGCACAAGTCGTGTCTGCTGCACAAGAGACTGTTCCCGTCACGTCGGCCAAGCCAGAGACTGTTCCCGTCACGTCGGCCAAGCCAGAGACTGTTCCCGTCATGCACACCGAGCCAGAGACCGTTCCCGTCACGCCCGCCGAGCCAGAGACTGTTCACGTCACGCACGCCGAGCCAGAGACTGTTCCCGTCACGCACGCCGAGCCAGAGACTGTTCCCGTCACGCCCGCCGAGCCAGAGACTGTTCCCGTCACGCACGCCGAGCCAGAGACTGTTCCCGTCACGCACGCCGAGCCAGAGACTGTTCCCGTCACGCACGCCGAGCCAGAGACTGTTCCCGTCACGCCCGCCGAGCCAGAGACTGTTCCCGTCACGCACGCCGAGCCAGAGACTGTTCCCGTCACGCACGCCGAGCCAGAGACTGTTCCCGTCACGCACGCCGAGCCAGAGACTGTTCCCGTCACGCACGCTGAGCCAGAGACTGTTCCCGTCACGCACGCCGAGCCAGAGACTGTTCCCGTCACGCACGCTGAGCCAGAGACTGTTCCGGTCACGCACGCCGAGCCAGAGACTGTTCCCGTCACGCCCGCCGAGCCAGAGACGGTTCCCGTCACGCCCGCCGAGCCAGAGACTGTTCCCGTCACGCACGCTGAGCCAGAGACTGTTCCCGTCACGCACGCTGAGCCAGAGACTGTTCCCGTCACGCACGCCGAGCCAGAGACTGTTCCCGTCACGCCCGCCGAGCCAGAGACGGTTCCCGTCACGCCCGCCGAGCCAGAGACCGTTCCCGTCACGCCCGCCGAGCCAGAGACCGTTCCCGTCACGCACGCCGAGCCAGAGACCGTTCCCGTCACGCACGCCGAGCCAGAGACCGTTCCCGTCACGCACGCCGAGCCAGAGACTGTTCACGTCACGCCCGCCGAGCCAGAGACTGTTCCCGTCACGCCCGCCGAGCCAGAGACTGTTCACGTCACGCCCGCCGAGCCAGAGACTGTTCCCGTCACGCCCGCCGAGCCAGAGACTGTTCCCGTCACGCACGCCGAGCCAGAGACTGTTCCCGTCACGTCGGCCAAGCCAGAGACTGTTCCCGTCACGCCCGCCGAGCCAGAGACCGTTCCCGTCACGCCCGCCGAGCCAGAGACCGTTCCCGTCACGCACGCCGAGCCAGAGACCGTTCCCGTCACGCACGCCGAGCCAGAGACCGTTCACGTCACGCCCGCCGAGCCAGAGACCGTTCCCGTCACGCCCGCCGAGCCAGAGACTGTTCCCGTCACGCACGCCGAGCCAGAGACTGTTCCCGTCACGTCGGCCAAGCCAGAGACTGTTCCCGTCACGCCCGCCGAGCCAGAGACCGTTCCCGTCACGCCCGCCGAGCCAGAGACCGTTCCCGTCACGCCCGCCGAGCCAGAGACCGTTCCCGTCACGCCCGCCGAGCCAGAGACTGTTCCCGTCACGCACGCCGAGCCAGAGACTGTTCCCGTCACGCACGCCGAGCCAGAGACTGTTCCCGTCACGCACGCTGAGCCAGAGACTGTTCCCGTCACGCCCGCCGAGCCAGAGACTGTTCCCGTCACGCACGCCGAGCCAGAGACGGTTCCCGTCACGTCGGCCAAGCCAGAGACTGTTCCCGTCATGCACGCCGAGCCAGAGACGGTTCCCGTCACGTCGGCCAAGCCAGAGACTGTTCCCGTCATGCACGCCGAGCCAGAGACGGTTCCCGTCACGTCGGCCAAGCCAGAGACTGTTCCCGTCATGCTCGCCGAGCCAGAGACTGTTCCCGTCACGCACGCCGAGCCAGAGACTGTTCACGTCACGCCCGCCGAGCCAGAGACTGTTCACGTCACGCCCGCCGAGCCAGAGACTGTTCACGTCACGCCCGCCGAGCCAGAGACTGTTCACGTCACGCCCGCCGAGCCAGAGACTGTTCACGTCACGCCCGCCGAGCCAGAGACTGTTCACGTCACGCTCGCCGAGCTAGAGACTGTTCCCGTCACGCACGCCGAGCCAGAGACTGTTCACGTCACGCCCGCCGAGCCAGAGACTGTTCACGTCACGCCCGCCGAGCCAGAGACTGTTCACGTCACGCCCGCCGAGCCAGAGACTGTTCACGTCACGCCCGCCGAGCCAGAGACTGTTCCCGTCACGCACGCCGAGCCAGAGACTGTTCACGTCACGCCCGCCGAGCCAGAGACTGTTCACGTCACGCCCGCCGAGCCAGAGACTGTTCACGTCACGCCCGCCGAGCCAGAGACTGTTCACGTCACGCACGCTGAGCCAGAGACTGTTCCCGTCACGCACGCCGAGCCAGAGACTGTTCACGTCACGCCCGCCGAGCCAGAGACTGTTCACGTCACGCCCGCCGAGCCAGAGACTGTTCACGTCACGCCCGCCGAGCCAGAGACTGTTCACGTCACGCCCGCCGAACCAGAGACTGTTCACGTCACGCTCGCCGAGCTAGAGACTGTTCACGTCACGCACGCCGAGCCAGAGACTGTTCACGTCACGCCCGCCGAACCAGAGACTGTTCACGTCACGCTCGCCGAGCTAGAGACTGTTCACGTCACGCCCGCCGAGCCAGAGACTGTTCACGTCACGCCCGCCGAACCAGAGACTGTTCACGTCACGCTCGCCGAGCTAGAGACTGTTCACGTCACGCCCGCCGAGCCAGAGACCGTTCCCGTCACGCCCGCCGAGCCAGAGACCGTTCCCGTCACGCACGCCGAGCCAGAGACTGAAATTGCCAATTAAACTGTCACTTAGATTTGAAAATTATACAAAAATGCATAGTTACCTTGTATGGACACTTTTACACGTCTGATGGTGGTGCTAACAGAGTTGTTTGCAATGCAGTGCAGATCCTCAGATGTTGATTCTGTTATAGTAAGAGTTTCACTATAAACTATATCAGTTGTGTTGACACTCCAGCTGATTGTTGGTTTTGGGTTTCCCTCGGCTTTACAAACAATCACCCCTGGATATCCTGGAAACACAGGCACTTTGGAGGGCAGTTTGGTCTCATCGATGATCGGTTTAACTGCAGGAAGAAGCAAAAAACAGTTTAAGAGGTTTTGTATCTGCACTGCATCTTACATTTCTTATGTTAATCCATATTAATTTTAATCTTTTAACAAAACAAACTAAATTTAGAAATGTAACAAGAAAAAGTTACACACTGGCTGTGTCTGAAATCGCATACTCTCTTGAGTAGGTACTTATTTTGAGTAAGTAATTACTTCATGGCCGGCAAAAAAGTTTTTTCTATAGTATGAATGTGTAGTATTAATGTAATCTGGATGAACTACATTCGCCATGCTGTCATCATCATGTGACCCGCGTCAGTTTCGTCGCTTCACTGCCATTCATAAATCCTCTCCTGTGGCCTCATGGGATAGTAAAGTGTCTATTGTATGCACACTTTTTGTTTACTCTTTTGTGAGTACTGTGAATTCAGACATATACTTCTTGGGTCATATACTGTTTTCACCAACTATCTTGTAGGGAAGTTTGCGATTTCGGATACAGCCACTGTGTCACATGGTAAGGGCTACAACCAAACGTCTGATTTGGACATCAGATGTTCTTAAAAGATTAATGATAGAAGCTGATGGATCTTACTTACAATAAACAGTAATGCGGAGAGGATCTGATGTGACTTCAGGAGGAGGTTGAGGTCCTTCTTCTCCCAGTTCCAGCTTTGCTTCACACCAGTACTGAGCTCCATCATCAGCTCTGTCTGGACGGATCAGGAGTTTAGATGTTTTACTGACTGGAGTATGGATGGTGTCAGTGAAGATGGTTTGATCCACCAGAGTCTGTCCTTTGTACCAGTTGACAGTGAGATTCTGAACAGGAGCCACATTGAGAACGTCACACTGGAGCTCATACTGGTTTCCCTCCATCATTGGTCCGGTGTGATTCACAGTGCTGATGGACACACTGTCTGGAGTCTCTGTGGAACAGATTTCAGAGGTATTGATTTCCACAGTCCTGAGTGAATTCCAGAAAATAAATATTTTTGCATGATTTGAAATAAATAAATAAAAAACTCACTGTAAACGATAAATGAGAGATTCTGTGAACACTGGGTTTCATTAGAGAAAATGTGACAAGTTAGCTGCATCTCCCAGTTTGTCACATTACCACTTTGGGAGATTTTTCCAATGTTTTCCAGTGATCTATTAGATGGCTCCCAACTCAAGTCAAAATCATCTGTCATGATAGTGGAGCAGTTCACTGAGAATGAAGCTTCATATTGAACCACCACCTCAGGAGGGTTGAAGGAAATGGGGCAGTCTGTCAAAAGAGAACGAAGACAGTGCATTCTGATAAAACTGATTTATGAGAAAAGTAGTATTAGAGTTCATTAAAGATTTAGTAAAGCTGTAAACAAACATTACGTAAACTGAACATCTACTTGACTTTGCTACAGACTTCTTAATGCTTGATGTGACAAAATCTGATAAACATCCAGAATTTATAGCATTCACATTTCATGAATTGTGTGGCTTGTATTTACCCAAAGAGAAGAATAGCATTTACAGTAACAGTATATACACCTCGTGTCATTCTAAATCGGTATGACTTTATTTCGTCTGTGATGAGATGAGTCATTTTGACTGCAGTGGTTTGGTGTGTTTATAGTGGTTGTTAAGGCAAGCATTAGCTTTTCTTTTGCTCATGGCTAGGGAACAAACCACCCATTACTCTAGATCTTACTCCTTGGTAGGTAACTGACCCTGCAGTTCAGAGATATTAATATCCAGCTAACATTATTGACAAATCATGTGGCTTGTTGAGCAGAGGTGTGCTATTTTTTGTAATAAGCTGGGAAACAACCACCTACCAACCTTTTGAATGCATTTAAAAGATGCCATAAACATTATTCAAAAGACCAGTGCCCGGTTGCATAAAGTACCTTAAGTTTTTCCCTTAAGTATGATACTTAAGGGGCGATTTACCCTTACCTAAGAGAACAACTTAAGGGTGTTGCATATAATCTCTTAAACGGTTCTCTTAGGTAAGGGAAACATTTAAGTGTTTCACGACAGCGATCCTGGATTCACGTTATAAAAGTCTGTTGTTGCCATAGATACGCAAAACACTAACATGTCGGAATATCACGTGTCAGTCCAGTGACGCTATCACGCAACACCGCGTTAGCTCCGAACGTGGCGGCAGTTTGTGTTGTTCACCGTCTCATGCTTTGGCATTTACGAGGCTGAATCCAGCTTCTTATTCGCAGCTTCTTATTGACGCTATCCGTTCCACCTTAAATGACGCGAACTTCCGCGTTTGCTGGCTTCTTATTGACGCTCAACTTAGGGACCGTGCGGTTTTCTCTTTTTCGCGTTTTTAAAGGGATTGTGTTACTTTTGGGTCTATATTCCGAATAAAATGATAATAAAAAATGTTTAAAAGCAAATAACACTGATATATCAGCGAAAATGGACTGTACAAATATTAAAGCACATAAATATAATTAGGCTACATTATTCTTTAATTATTGTATGTCATCAGCTCAATTTAGGGACCGTGTGGTTTTTCACTTATTCACACTTATTAGAGACCCTGTTTGTATTGTTTATATTTTTCCAGAAAAGAATAATAAAGTATTTTGAAAGGTAAATAAATAATAATAACACATAAATGTCTGTTAAAATATAATTAGGCCTACATTATTCTTTAATTATTGCAAATAACATCATTTGAATGTATTCAATACATGTTTTTTTTAAATTATTATTATTATTATTACAAATTAGAATTTCACAAGGTACTGAGATTATGCTCCAGCTTGGATCCAGCCTCTTATGAAGACTTCAGATGACCCAGCACATTTGAATAGATGAAACCTACCCTTGCAAGGACTCCAGAACATCAAACATGAATGATTATACAAAATGATCTATTTATAATTGCTTTAACACATTAATTTTGCTTAGATGCATATATGATATTTGTAAATACTATAATTTGTGGTATCTTATAACTGTACTTTCTGATATCATCTCATTAAATCCTATTGTGGTTTTGTAACATAGAAACCTGCATTTTCTGTAAAGCTGCCTTGAAATTATATGTATTGTGAAAAGGGTTATACAAATGACTGTATGAATTAAATTCAATTGCATTGACTTGAAAGTGCCATTGCATGGTTACTGTACATTAGAAAGATATGGACCTAATCTGACAAAATACAGAAGAGTTAACGAGGCTGAATCCAGCTTCTTATTCGCAGCTTCTTATTGACGCTATCCGTTCCACCTTAAATGACGCGAACTTCCGCGTTTGCTGGCTTCTTATTGACGCTCAACTTAGGGACCGTGCGGTTTTCTCTTTTTCGCGTTTTTAAAGGGATTGTGTTACTTTTGGGTCTATATTCCGAATAAAATGATAATAAAAAATGTTTAAAAGCAAATAACACTGATATATCAGCGAAAATGGACTGTACAAATATTAAAGCACATAAATATAATTAGGCTACATTATTCTTTAATTATTGTATGTCATCAGCTCAATTTAGGGACCGTGTGGTTTTTCACTTATTCACACTTATTAGAGACCCTGTTTGTATTGTTTATATTTTTCCAGAAAATAATAATAAAGTATTTTGAAAGGTAAATAAATAATAATAACACATAAATGTCTGTTAAAATATAATTAGGCCTACATTATTCTTTAATTATTGCAAATAACATCATTTGAATGTATTCAATACATGTTTTTTTTAAATTATTATTATTATTATTACAAATTAGAATTTCACAAGGTACTGAGATTATGCTCCAGCTTGGATCCAGCCTCTTATGAAGACTTCAGATGACCCAGCACATTTGAATAGATGAAACCTACCCTTGCAAGGACTCCAGAACATCAAACATGAATGATTATACAAAATGATCTATTTATAATTGCTTTAACACATTAATTTTGCTTAGATGCATATATGATATTTGTAAATACTATAATTTGTGGTATCTTATAACTGTACTTTCTGATATCATCTCATTAAATCCTATTGTGGTTTTGTAACATAGAAACCTGCATTTTCTGTAAAGCTGCCTTGAAATTATATGTATTGTGAAAAGGGTTATACAAATGACTGTATGAATTAAATTCAATTGCATTGACTTGAAAGTGCCATTGCATGGTTACTGTACATTAGAAAGATATGGACCTAATCTGACAAAATACAGAAGAGTTATCACATTGTTGGCCTATTTGGTTTTACTGATGTTTTACCCTGTATCTGCTTGAATATAATCATGCACAATTTCACGTTTTACTGTATAAAAAGCCATTGCATTGTTGGCTCAATTGGGGGCTCTATATCTTAGCTGTATTTGATGGAATTTTTTAATTTTGCACTTTAGACAGTGCACAATAAGCCGCCTAATGCATTTTCTGCCCATTCTGCGGCGCTGTTTCTCGGCCGCCTCAGAGGGTGCGTTAAATTTGACATTGTCCCATTAGACTAGAGCTCCTACTCTGACGAAATCCACATTTTGAGCAGTTTTTACTGTAGAATTTTTTTTTAATGAATTTTTTAATTTTGCACTTTAGACAGTGCACAAAAAGCTGCCTAATGCATTTTCTGCCCATTTCGTGGCGCTGTTTCTCGGCCGCCTCAGAGGGTGCGTTAAATTTGACAAAGTCCCATTAGACTAGAGCTCCTACTCGGACGAAATCCACATTTTGAGGAGTTTTTACTGTAGAATTTTTGTTTAATTAATTTTTAAATTTAGCACTTTAGACAGTGCACAATAAGCTACCTAATGCATTTTCTGCCCATTTCGTGGCGCTGTTTCTCGGCCGCCTCAGAGGGTGCGTTAAATTTGACAAAGTCCCATTAGACTAGAGCTCCTACTCTAACGAAATCCAAATTTTGAGCAGTTTTTACTGTAGAATTTTATTTTAATGAATTTTTGAATTTTGCTTTTTACAGTGCACAATAAGCTGCCTAATGCATTTTCTGCCCATTCTGCGGCGCTGTTTCTCGGCTGCCTCAGAGGGTGCGTTAAATTTGACATTGTCCCATTAGACTAGAGCTCGAACTCTGACGAAATCCACATTTTTAGCAGTTTTTACTGTAGAATTTTTTTTTAATGAATTTTTGAATTTTGTACTTTAGACAGTGCACAATAAGCCGCCTAATGCATTTCTGCCCATTTCGTGGCGCTGTTTCTCGGCCGCCTCAGAGGGTGCGTTAAATTTGACATTGTCCCATTAGACTAGAGCTCGAACTCTGACGAAATCCACATTTTTAGCAGTTTTTACTGTAGATTTTTTTTTTAATGAATTTTTGAATTTTGTACTTTAGACAGTGCACAATAAGCCGCCTAATGCATTTCTGCCCATTTCGTGGCGCTGTTTCTCGGCCGCCTCAGAGGGTGCGTTAAATTTGACATTGTCCCATTAGACTAGAGCTCCTACTCTGACGAAATCCACATTTTGAGCAGTTTTTACTGTAGAATTTTTTTTTAATGAATTTTTGAATTTTGTACTTTAGACAGTGCACAATAAGCCGCCTAATGCATTTCTGCCCATTTCGTGGCGCTGTTTCTCGGCCGCCTCAGAGGGTGCGTTAAATTTGACATTGTCCCATTAGACTAGAGCTCGAACTCTGACGAAATCCACATTTTTAGCAGTTTTTACTGTAGATTTTTTTTTTAATGAATTTTTGAATTTTGTACTTTAGACAGTGCACAATAAGCCGCCTAATGCATTTCTGCCCATTTCGTGGCGCTGTTTCTCGGCCGCCTCAGAGGGTGCGTTAAATTTGACATTGTCCCATTAGACTAGAGCTCCTACTCTGACGAAATCCACATTTTGAGCAGTTTTTACTGTAGAATTTTTTTTTAATGAATTTTTGAATTTTGCACTTTAGACAGTGCACAATAAGCTGCCTAATGCATTTTCTGCCCATTTCGTGGCGCTGTTTCTCAGCCGCCTCAGAGGGTGCGTTAAATTTGACAAAGTCCCATTAGACTAGAGCTCCTACTCTGACGAAATCCACATTTTGAGCAGTTTTTACTGTAGAATGTTTTTTTAATGAATTTTTGAATTTTGCACTTTAGACAGTGCACAATAAGCTGCCTAATGCATTTTCTGCCCATTTCGTGGCGCTGTTTCTCGGCCGCCTCAGAGGGTGCGTTAAATTTGACAAAGTCCCATTAGACTAGAGCTCCTACTCTAACGAAATCCAAATTTTGAGCAGTTTTTACTGTAGATTTTTTTTTTAATGAATTTTTTGAAGTTTGCTTTTTACAGTGCACAATAAGCCGCCTAATACATTTTCTGCCCATTTCGTGGCGCTGTTTCTCGGCCGCCTCAGAGGGTGCGTTAAATTTGACAAAGTCCCATTAGACTAGAGCTCCTACTCTGACGAAATCCACATTTTGAGGAGTTTTTACTGTAGAATTTTTGTTTAATTAATTTTTAAATTTTGCACTTTAGACAGTGCACAATAAGCTGCCTAATACATTTTCTGCCCATTTCGTGGCGCTGTTTCTCGGCCGCCTCAGAGGGTGCGTTAAATTTGACAAAGTCCCATTAGACTAGAGCTCCTACTCTAATGAAATCCAAATTTTGAGCAGTTTTTACTGTAGAATTTTATTTTAATGAATTTTTGAATTTTGCTTTTTACAGTGCACAATAAGCTGCCTAATGCATTTTCTGCCCATTCTGCGGCGCTGTTTCTCGGCTGCCTCAGAGGGTGCGTTAAATTTGACATTGTCCCATTAGACTAAAGCTCCTACTCTGACGAAATCCACATTTTGAGCAGTTTTTACTGTAGTATTTTTTTTTAATGAATTTTTGAATTTTGCACTTAAGACAGTGCACAATAAGCCGCCTAATGCATTTCTGCCCATTTCGTGGCGCTGTTTCTCGGCCGCCTCAGAGGGTGCGTTAAATTTGACATTGTCCCATTAGACTAGAGCTCGAACTCTGACGAAATCCACATTTTTAGCAGTTTTTACTGTAGATTTTTTTTTTTATGAATTTTTGAATTTTGTACTTTAGACAGTGCACAATAAGCCGCCTAATGCATTTCTGCCCATTTCGTGGCGCTGTTTCTCGGCCGCCTCAGAGGGTGCGTTAAATTTGACATTGTCCCATTAGACTAGAGCTCCTACTCTGACGAAATCCACATTTTGAGCAGTTTTTACTGTAGAATTTTTTTTTAATGAATTTT